TCGGGATGTTACGCCAAGTGATTTCCGCAAAATATAGTGACATAGTAAACATTTAACAGTCGCGTTAAATGAAAATAAAAAATAATATATTATAATAGTGCTATCGTTCCCCGTTTATAATAATGTCGTCGTAGTATAAGCCGAATATTTTCCGCTCCAAAAAATTACCCATTTCTGAAAGAAGGTAAAGAAAACGCAAAAAAAATATCCCCTCTCAAATAAAACTTTACGAATAATGTTGCTGTAATATGGGAAAAAAATATTTTACAAATATAGCCGGTGTAACCGTTGTACAAAAGGACGTTTCAGCTACAAACAGGAACAAATTTAGAAACGTTAAAATGAAATATCGTGATGCAAACTTGTATTTTGTACGAAAAGAATTATACGAGGAAGTTGCGTAAAATGAATAATTTTTGCGAAAATAGGGATGTTTGCAAGCTGCGTCGAATGAAAATAAAAGTTACCTTTCATTGCCCTTCGGTTAAATTGTTGAACATTCTATGGAAATTGGTGGAACGGGAAATGCATTAAAAATAATAGCTTGTGATTGGGCACCGAATATTTTTTTCCGACGGTCTAAAGCGGCAGTTGCGTTCTACATTTTTATGTGTGTGTACATAAACATACAGAGAAATTTCATATGATAAACCGAATAATATTTTACGCCTCACAGTGACAAAAAATACATTAAATGACATCACGACATTTAGTGTAACAGTACAACGTCGTATGTACGACACAACCAACCCTCGTCATCCATCATCGTCGCATGTACATTATTACCTCGGAATCCCAAACCTAATTTTCACCCGGAAATCTATCAGTCGAGGAAATAGAAAAAGGTGCGCATCCGCGATATCCTTCCTTCACTTCGTGCGAGCGTGGCGAAACGTGGCGTAATTTCCGATCGAGCCGATGGCGTTTTTACATTCGTTCGCCAAGGCTACGGCATATTTTCCTGAAATACAGAGGGACGATCAGCCGATCGTATTTCCCTTTTCGACGTCGCGACGAGGAGCGCATGTCGAGAACATAAGCGGCCCCGCTTCGTACGTGATACATCGGAAGCTTTGTGCGGATTTCGAAATGTAACACCACGCAAGAATCGCATTTTACACATGTTCCTTTATTTTATAATCGGTAAAATAATACATTTCATTCACGTGAAACGATATCGCGTGTCAAGGAAATCAAGCAGGGCGATGCAGATATGCCGCGAGCAGAGAGGCTTTATAGAATTATTTAATTATTTGAAGTTTGAGATGTGTGTAAAGCGGGGACTGCGCGAGTTTTCATAAAATATCAGTCAATTTCTTTGTCGTTCTCTTCGTATAAAAATGATAAGATGCCTTACTATTACTTATTTATAAAATAAATCAACAAAAGCATTCTATTTATGTAGTTAGCTGCTCAACCAACCGTGCACCTTCCAAAACTTTTGTCCGATTTCAATCAGTTTTAATATATTCCAAATCAATTTTAATTTGCTTCCTCGGTCCTGTCAGAATTCCCGAAGGCGCGGGAAGGATTCGCGCGTTCTCTTTGCATCGTTTCATCGTCGCGTTCCGCGTCGCAGTGCGAAGTCGTAGTTTGCGCGCGGACGTAACCTTCCGAAATGCACTTGGCAGTCGCTCGAGGGATTTTCGACTTCTCTCGCTCGACGAAATCTCGTCAGTGACGTTTCCGGACTTGTTTAAGACCGCCGAAACGTCTCATATACATTTATCTCGATACTTTGTTTTTCCCATCGTGTTCGGTGTACGGCTTCCAAAATAGATAGCCAATTGTGCAATTGTATTTTTGAATTATTATTATTTTGTTGAATACATTAACAGAAAAGATATTAGTATAAAAAAGGATGAAATACAAGCAACACACGCAAAAAGAGAGGTGTCAACTGAGAGAAATGTTGTTAACCTGAAATGAAGATTACAAAAAGGAAAAAGAAGAGAGGACAAGAGATTCGGAGTCAATTTTTCATTAGCGAAAATTTCGAGGCTCGATAGGTTTTGAATTATAAATGATCGAAAGGGCGAAACGAGTTTTTCCACGGGCAAATCTTCACTTGTTTGGCTTCTGCTTACTTTCGAGTGAACTTTATTTGAACAAATCCAATCTTGATTAAGAACTTGACGAACGAAATATTTAATTTTTGAAATCCATAGAGAGACAGAACTTCCTGAGGTCTTCGTAAACTTTTGACGAATAAAAAATTCGTTTCATTCCGACTAAACGTGGAAAAGGACAAAGTTCGGTTTAATGTCAAATATGAGGCGGAATAGTTTTAATAAAACTTTCTAAAGATTTACTTCTCATAATTGATAAGAGTTTCTATGTTGAAGAAGCTTGAACTTTTTAATATATTCAATACATTTACACCGTGACGCGACAAGTCTTATGCGAGTTGGGGCGTTCTTCGAGGGTGACATTTCAACACGTTCGCAGGAACGCGGAGTAAATTGAAAATATTCTTTTGTGCGCGGTATAAGGAAAATTTACATTCCCCGAAGAAGGTGCCGATGTTGTTCGAGACAATACATTCGTAACGTTCTCTCTTCTCAGCCGTGCAAATGCAACGAGTTCGCATTTTTCGGACGCTTGGCAACGAACGCGTCGTAAAGAATCGTAAAGTTGCGTACTTTCGTCGCTAATGCGAACTGCATGCATTATCTCCTGGAACATCTCCGACAAAATTGCCACACAATGTGACACCGAAAGTCGGTGACAATCGCGGCAATATATATGTTACTCGAATAAAAGGGACAAACGCGTGCGCCAAGGCCAAACAGCAGCAGCGAGATACCTTATTTTTGTGAAGGACGCGGATGCAATCTCGCTGCATTTCGCTCGACGATTTGATAATTTTGCATCAGATGATTATTTTGTTTTTCTCAAGTACTATCTCTCGACATGAATCATGCGATACTTATACGAAAAAAAAATAATTTTGCTGTTGTAACCAGACCATTGTTGCTACTCCATATTCGTTACGACAATAAAATATAGCATAATCAAATGAATAAATTATTCATAATTAGAGCAGAAACAGCTTTGTCGTCAGGATAGAAAATATTCTACTGAGTGAATTTGTGCGTAGGATATATTAATTTGCGTTTAAAACAAAATAAAATTTTCCGATATTTACCCCCCCTCTCTCTCTCTCTCTCTCTATGTGCTCTTATTGCAAAATAATTTATAGATTCAGCAAAATAATCCAGCGAATGGCAATTAACACTCTTAACAAATCAAATCGTCCTGCTGTTCACATGATAACTGACAGATTTTCCGACGACAGTATAAAATTTGCTATGTCAACTAGCAGTTTTAAGGGCTGGGAAAAAATCCAGTTTTTTTTCCCTGAATTTTCCGTGATTTTTCGGTTTCTTTTCGCGGGTGAATGAAAAAAACTTGAAAAACCCCGGATTTTCCCATAGATTTTTGTGCTTTCTTTTCGAGCAAAAGTCGAGAAATCGGTATTTTTAAAACTGTAGTGTCAGCAAATTATTTTTCTCCGTGTGGTAACTTATATTTGTAGGGAATTCGACGAAATTTCGGGGAAATACAAGTCTCTCAGTTCAATTATTATGTTTCCCTTGATTTCGCCATTGATCCGCAAGAAGCGATTTTTCGAACCCGCCATTTTTTCGCGATCGCTCATCCGATCCGGTGTATTAAAGACACGGTGACGTGAGATTTATCGTTGAGTTAGTTAGCCATCTTGCTCCAGCGAGCACGTTACCTCGCACGTCTGAGCGCGATCGTGGCGATTAATGCCTTCGTCTCTGAACTTCACCAATGAGAACTCGCGCTGACCAAGTCCGACTTGAGTCCCGTCCTGGCTCCGCCTCTGGTTTGCTGATGTGACCGGGACTATTGGCGTGTAGTTCGACCAAACTAAAGGTGTGATGTCTCGTTACTATGTAACGATACTTGCCGATGATGGTGGTGATCTTTACTCCATTAACGATATTTTTGCCGTTAACTGGGATTATTGGAAAGTTCCGCTTGTAATCACGGCACTGGATTGATGCGGCTCGCTGTGTGTGCTGGGATTAATCAGTACGCGCGACACGATATCGACTTGTTGCTATTGTTATTTAACCTGACGTTTTAATAATTGACATAGAGGCAAATATAACGTTAATATTGTGCGAAACTTGGCTAAGAGAGGTATGACCAATTCTAAAACGAAGAATATCGATCGTATGAATCGAGTGTTATTGAGAACGCGGAATAACCTTTGATATTTTGACCCTCTCTCTCTCTCTCTCTGTGTTTGGAACTGTTTTCATTTACATGTTTGCACGCGAAACTATCGGAAATTTAATTCCATGATACGATTTGGGAATCGCGGCGACCCAGCCGAGCGTAAACAAAATAATCCTGCCAAAATGGCGTCAAACTGCGTACAAATTTTCCCATTGTGTTCATATTTACCGACGGAGATCGTATTTGATCGGACTTCGCGAGAGAGCCCGTCGTAATATTTTGCACACGACCATGTTCAGTCGATTCTCACTTTGCGCGTAATCCCGGGGCCGAGGAGTCGAGGTTTTTTCGCCTCGGCGAAAATCCATTTACATTGTCGGGGTTACGCATTATTCATACACCTCGGATAAATCACATTGTGCGCACATATCTACAGCACTCGTCCGATATAGATAGATAAATAGATAGACACGCAGATAGGCGTACGTATAGACACACGAATACACGCATATATAGATACGTACGGGAAGGTTAGTCGACGAGGGGCCAGGCCGAGTCTCTCCGCTGTATTGACGCGCGGCGTTCAGGCTTGCGCGAGATGACGCAATCTCCCTCCCACTACCGATTCGCGCCCGTCTCGCCTTCCCCCCCGTTCCGCCAGCTCAGCTGCGCCCTCCACTCCGGTGCTCCCTTCCGCGCGCAGGTCTCCCCGTCTCGCGCGCCTCGCCCCGCGGCGCCCACAAGTTCAATGCCAAGGTCAAAGCGGCCACGACTCGCAGCCGTGTCGGTCGCGCGCGATATTCGTTCGTCCTCGAGGAGGCGAGCGCGGTTCGATCGCTCTTGGTGTACCAGCCGTGTCCGCTCTCTTCCTCGACGATGGTACGACCGTCCCGCCGGTGCGCAGAGAGGTAGGGTACCCGCGCGACGTGTTACGTTTCCCTCCTGACCGATTGTTTAGCGACCGGTGCGTGCGGCATGTCGACGGCAGTGGTCGTGTGCACACGCGATGTCGCGGAGTGCCTGCCGTCGGGGATTTTCGCAGGTGAGCCTTCCTGTGTTGCAACACGTCGACGATGACGACGGCGACGTGCGAGCGGACATTTTGAATACGCGACGTCGGAGTGCCGTGACGGGGGGATCGACTTTTGCGAGCCGGATGCAACGCAGTCGGACGCGCTTCTGCCGACAGCTTTCACGTCGCCGGATCGCGCGAATTTCGGGAGGCCTGTCTCTCTATCTTCCTTCCTGAACACAGCATCGGTAGACATGTGGGCGTGACGAGGGGGGGAGAGGAGGCGACTAGCGGGGCGAAAACGGCGGGTGTCGCTCCGTGATCTCGTGAATCTTCTGCGCTCGGGTGGAAAAGGCGACAAGGTCGGCGGCGCGCGCGACACAGGTGGATCCGTCCGGAAGAGAGAGAGAGAGAGCAGTCTGCGCGCGGAAGCCATCGTGTCGCCGCGAGATATCGCGTCACGCAGGCCAAGATGGCGGCGGCGAATTTCGGACAGGACCCGAACGGACGCTGCGCACCGAGGTAAGCCGCACCGTCCTCTATCCCCCTCGTGTATATATCGCCGCCGACCGCGCACTGTCACGCGTTATCGATTCCGCCGTCGGAGAGCCGCGCGCGAAGAACCACCAGCAATGACGCGTCTCTCTCTTTCTATCTTTTTCTTTCTCTCTCTTTCTCTCAAGGTCACCGTCGTGAATCGCGCTCGAGGTTCTTCCTCTCTTCCCGATTTGCGTTGGCTTAATTGCTCTCGAGGTGCGGAGCCGTCGCTCGAGGCACTCGGAATATAATCGATACCGCGTATTGCGCGCCACGGCGTCGGGCAATTCCACCGACGTTGCGCGTCTATCTTCTTACGACACAATCGCCAATTTTCCTCGAACGCTTCTTACTCGTCGGGATGATCTAATTGTTTCACGAGGAAAAACGGCCGAAGCCATGTTGCCGTTTTTACCTATCCTTCCCTCCCCCCTTCAAATCGCGGCTGGGAATGGAGCCTCTCGTTTCACGAGGAGGAGACGCGCCTATCGGACATAGCGTTTCGGTCAAATGAGGGTTAATTTAAGCGCGAGATATACCGCGCTCGACCGGATGATCTATAGTCGCCGCGGCCGCTGTTACGATGTGGCACCATTATGATGTAAGCCCGGCTCACGTACTCTCCGCGCCGCGGAACGGTGAGAGATCAATTGGTCCTGCGGAGGACGGTTTTCCCGGCCGGATTTCAATGCTCCAACCTCAAACCGTGCGAAAAGCTTTCTCGAGGAGACCCAGTGGAGACGCGCCGCGACGCGCTCGATCTGTTGTGTCACTTTGACGTGCAATAACGATGTCACGCCGGTTATTCACTTATTAAATTTCGCTTTTGCTTAACGTTCTTGTTTCAACCACATGCAGCATATGCTTTAATCTTTTTCCACATTTATTTTTTCTGAATGCTTCCGCTACGGTTCCTTCTAGTTTCTTTTGAACAAAATAGGTGCTAACTATAGGTAAATGTTTCAAGATTGTTCAGAGCTAATGTCGTGACGCTGGTATTTTCAAATTCGTCAGAAAATGAGGACGTTACGATGATCGACTTTTACTTTCCTCCGTTTGTAGTTTTCACTCGATTCATTGTGTTTGTACACATAGTCTTGAATCAATGGTGGATATATTTTAACATATAAGCAAGAATATTACACTATTCTCAGAAAATTTGTAGCCTTGAATTGAGTGCAAGTAATACTTGCGTCAATACAAGTTCAATCAAATCAAAAGTCTTCTAAGATTATAATATTTTTGCTTATACATGAGAATATCTGTCATAGATTTAGGACTATTTTTTCCGTGTATGAGAGAAGATACACGGAAACCGGGAAAGTTTACGTGGTTGTCTACCGAATACACGAGCGGTGTACTGCTGTGTGTTTCTGATTTTTTCGAGAAGAAACGCGTGACGGCCACGCGAGCTTTTCACACATCTGTCCGCTGATATCTCGATCGATGGTTGATAATAGTCGATTTGAAATCGCGGATTCTTCTTCCGAGGATGAACTTTCGTCCGGAGCTTCTTTGCGGGCGACAGAGCGGTCGCTACGACGCCGACGGACGACCACGGTGGCGCTGACGATGTGGTATCGATTAAAGTACACGCTATACCTGCTCGTCGTGGCGTGTACTTAACCTTGACCTTGCGTCCCGGGGCCTTCTTACGTTTGCTCTAGTCCGTAGGGTTATGTATGAGAATGCTATTCCACCGTGGAATCTTCTTCCGGCGCCAACTGACCGTCCGTGCGAACGATCTCCTCGCGTGCTTACTTTATGGCACGTTACAAGGAGATCTGGTCGTTAAAAGTTCTCGTGAAATTCACCTTCTTCGCTTCGCGCGAAAGGAGCTGCCGGGTTGAATGTAACGGCCAATTGAATTCGACATTCTTGGCTGTACGCCATTACTGACTCACGCGGAATTAATTATTACGTCGAAGACGTGTGAAGCTTCGCTTTAGAATTCGCTTACAATGCCGCGCGCGCGTTGAAAATGTTCCAAGATTCTATTTAAGCGCCGCTTCTCTTTTCTCGACGAGAAATCCGTCCAGTTGGATCCCGTCGTCTGCTAGCGTCTTCTGCATTCGAGATAAAACTGATGCACATCCGGAGATTGGAGAAGGAAGGAAAAGAAAGGAGCTGCGGCTGAAACGAACAGAACGATCTTTTCCCCTGCCTGCTCCAGTTTCGCTCTCATGCTATGTACCGTGACCTCCTTTCAGCATCTTCTTCGTCCCTGCACACTGTCTTTCGCCGTTACGTCTCGTTTCCTCTTTTCCGTTCGTATCGATTTCAATCGCAATCGCAGAGAACCTGATTCGCACGCGACTAACGTAATTTCGCGTAACTGGGAAGAGAACGGTATCTTGTGAAACCACGCACCATCCAATTCTGCCGATCCATAGTCGAGAATGCCAAGTCCCGTTAAATTAATTTCATATAAAACAAGATATTAATTTGATTTAGGCCGCACTAACTGACCAATTTTCCCCCTTTTTTCTTTTCTTTTTTCCCCCCCCCCCCNTCTTTCTCTTTTTAACGCGTACGCTCACCAACTTGTCGTTCTTCATCGTTCGAATAACGTTTCGTAACTTAATGTTAGAATTAAATTCTTCGTTTATACAATCTAACAGTGCACCAGCCAGCCGAGCGCATGCACGCGACTGATGCAACGCCGTGATGTGTTTTCGATGCATTCGTATAAAAGCTATTATTGGACCCGGTTATATTCCGTCATTGCTGTTTCACGATGCTTTTTATGCGCCCGCGAGAGACGGATACAGAGAGAGAGAGAGAGAGAGGGAGAAGGAAAGAGAGAAAGAGATGTTGAAATCCTGCGCTTAATTAAGCGTAGGCACCCGGTATTACGACGCAAATAATACGTCGATGCCGTTATCTAGTCGTTGAAATAATAAAGTTAACTCAACTCGGCAGAACTGGCTTTTTAATGAGGTGCAAATATTTGAGAAAGGAAAGGACGCGCTTTAGTTTTTAGTATACGCGGCGGTACCGTTGCGATCGCTAATCACTCATAGCCGTGATCATGCTTAATTAACCTATGCAGGTATTTCGCGTAATACTTGTATTTTTCTATAATATAATACGTCACGTTTATACTTTCTCTTGATCTTTTTGACGTGATATCTCTCAGAAGAACTTTATTCAATACGTTGTTCCGGTTCGCGTTCTATATTTCACGAGTTTTTACGATGTGCTGGAAGATGTTCTGTGCGTCTAAAGAAAATTAATTCTTTTGTGTGTTCAGGTGACAAATTCCGCCTCGTGCTGGCCACAACGTTACGCGAGGACGGTTACCCGGACGGAAACGAATGGAACGCTACGGAACAGGAAGGCGGTTCCAGGGCGGACAGTTTTGAGTACGTCATGTCCGGCAAAGTGTATCGGATCGAAGGCGACGAAGCCAGCAACGAGCCTAGTAGCAGACTGTAAGTAACCATCTCTTGTCTCTTACCGACCTTCGGCTCGTAAGATCATTCTAGGAGAAATCTCTCATGTGTATTTTTTTCTGATTGAAAAAAAAACCTAATTAATGTAGCCAAATTAACAGGTGCATATTTTTTTAATTAAAGAACGGATAAAATTAGAGATTGTCATCCCAGACTGATCTTACTTTGATTTATCAATTTTTACACGATAACGTGTATAACATTTATCTTGTTGATAGAGAGTTAAGATTCGTTTGCACCGCGCGATTTTTCACACGATCACGATTACGTTTGCACTGTGAAGCGTGCTGTAATGTGAGATACACAACGATAATCAAATAGGGATGGACTGTCTGCTGATAAGCGAAAAACAGCTTGTCAGCTTATCGATGTAGCGCCTCCAATCCGACGTAATCCTAATTGTATGAGTTAAAATAGTGGATTACATTTGTAAATTTCTAATAAGAATAAGTTGCTGGCATTTCTTTAACCCCTTAACGGTTTTTCTACGATTAGAAAGCTAATGTAAATATTAAAATAGTTTTCCAATATTGTGTTATATCATAACTTTAATGTAATTATTTTTCATGCCCGAGTTAACACCGGCACGTGCACTTCTTAAAATAACATAAAATAAAACGCCCGAGTTAACTCGGGCTCGCGCGTTAAGAGGTTAATTAATCGTTACGTTATCGATTTCTTTGGTGTGTAATCTTTTATTTGTTTGTTTCGAAGGTAAAAATGAAAGATTCAAACGAATCTATTATATATAATGCCTCGAAAAATCGCGTGGTATAAACGAATCTGTAACTCATTGCGTGTCCGAGCAGAACCATGCGACTTGTTTAACACTTTGACTGCCACGTCACCCATATGTAGGTGATGCATGAATTTCCGCAGAGGTTTCGTCATCCATTTTTAGATGGCGATCTTACATATTAATTTATTCACGAGAAATATTCTTATTTAAGAACAAAAGATATATTTACATAGTAAGAACAACGCTTAATAAATATGATATTAATAATATATAATGATATAAAAAATAATAAAATTACTTATTTTTTTAAGCATTTTTCCTCCAGTCCTTGTCCATTTCTTCCAGTGGTTTAATAAAATGTTAAATATTATAAACAGTATATTATTGTTATAAATATTGTTACAAGCCGCGACGAGCGGGCCTGACGCGTGGCAAAGGAGAGCGCGATGTTGTCAAGCGATCGTCATTGCACAGGACGAGGAAGCGCAACAAAATACGATAAAAATGCTTAAAATAAAGAATTTATAATATTTGAACATCAATTAAACTATTGAATGTTCAATGGAAATCGACTGGGCAGTCAACGTGTTAAAGTGTCGATAAAGACCACAAAGAGAAAATATAAGGATGTGATCGCATAAAATTAATATTCAAGTGAAATTCGCAACGTGTGTACCGCGGTGGGGTCAGACGTAACATCGGTATTTCTTCGCGAATAAATATCGAAACACTTCTAATAAAATTTTCGAATTCGGCAGACACTATGAAACGTATCATCCCACAATGTTGCTTCCGGGTTAGAACACAGCTCGTCATTGTACGCTCGCGCGTTCGAAAATCGTCTTAAATGCCGCCGGCCTTTATGCGACAGTCGAATGGCGGTCGCGATAACCGTGTTTTGTCGATCCTTCGTTATCTGTGAGAGCCTCTCTGTGTGTCAACTTCGTTCTGCTCGGATACACTACACCGACGGCCTGGTATATCGGGCGTACGCACGGACATCAGACGTCACGATGCGTGACGTCGTTCTAACGCATCGACGCGACCAGACTTTCTGCTGTGTGGTCTCCTATTGGCTCGCTTCCAGCGCTCAATGAAGCCGCTCTCAGTGAGCTTCTGAAAACAACTTTCTGCGTCGCTCGCCCTCATAGAAAAATTACGGGCTCTCTCTTTCTCTCTCTCTCTCCATTTTTCTCTCTTTCGTCGTTGTAATAATAGATTTTAAACTACGTCTCTTGATCGATCGAGAGCCGCTCGATCTTGCTGAACATTTTATTGCGACGGTCGTTCTTACGTAATTAGTAGACGCGAACGGCGACGAAGTAACGGAATACTAAATATCGCGCCAAGTCAGACAGGATAAATTTTCGTTCCGTTGATTAACGGTACAAAGTCGCGCGGCGATTGAAATGCGTATACAGTGAGCATTTTTGCCTCCGACATATATTCGACTCTCTCCCTCTCTCTTTGTTTTTTTTTTTATTAATAATTAACATTACTTAAACAAAATTGTCGTTAAAGAAAAATGGCTCTGGAAAGATAATTTCCTTTGTTGAGTTATATTTTCGACGTTATTTTCTCACACTTCTCTCAGACTCGCGATTCCGCTCATTCGACTTAAACTGCAAAGGATGCAAATAAAATACCAACAGACTCGTTAATATTGTGTGTGAAGTAGCCGCCGGCCGGCTCCTGTATGAATTACGTGTTGCGCAATTGTCTAATGCCCGGCTCGATTGGCTCGGCACGAGCGCGCCGAAATAGTGCGTCATCGGTGGCCACTTTTAATAGCTCCTTTATTCATGAAGCGTGAAAGGAGCCTGTGGTTTTCATGCCCGATTGTGTGTTCCTAATTATTCGTAAAATTCCATCGTGAAAAATGGCAGCAACGCGGGCGACAAGAGAAACGACGTTCCGTATGTGCAAACGATCGATCACTCGGCTCGTAGAGCCATCCCATCGATACTACGTATTCCGACTGTACATTCGGGTTAAGAATAACAGCTCGCATTCGGCGCGTTAAGGGCGAAATTGATAATTGCGTCAGTTCGTTCCCCGGTCGGAGCCTCGCAGGAAGGTCACACTCGCTCGCGCGCTAGAGAGAGAGAGTTCGACTTTCCATTTAAACGCCGGACGAAACGCGGAATTGCGCGATAACCCCGCGGTTTGACCGACTTATCGCGCTGACCTTGGGACGACACGGCTGTGTCGCGCCGGCTCCCTCGTCGCAGGTTGCCGCTGCGCGCAAAATGTGCCGTCCTCTGTTGACGCTATTACAGATAGAATGTTGTGTTGCGGAGACACGCGATAAGAGGGGGATGGGAGGGGGGTATCAGCTCGCGATGTGCGGGCGACGCGGATTTGCGAGGTGTTTGGAGCTCGGTCGCGCGAGATGTCCGACGAATCAACGTTATTCCGTTCTCGGTGTGAGGATTTTCCGATCGTTTTATACGTCAGTTCGATGAAAAATGAACAAAACAAAGCACGGGCTCTGACTCCAACCTTACCATTAGAGGATTAACGGAGTCTCGCATCGTTCTGATAGGTATGGAATGTAATGAAAACCTTGATAAATTTATATCTGTCGTGTGTCATCGGTTGATTGGATTGAAATTGGAATTTTTCGCTTCCGTTGAAAGCTTGAATACGTTGGTAATATGAGAGATTGGACAGATGGACATGCCAAATCTCTCTCTCTCTCTCTCTCCTTCTCACACACATTTCCAAAAAGTTTGAAAGTATAGTAAGAAAATTTAAAAATATATGCACAGGTATGTAGATTTTTTCATGAGTCATCTGTGCCACGTGACTCATTAAGCAAGAAATAAACACAGAACTCGCGAGTTAATTTTATACATGCGGCAAAAAAAAAAAAGACGAAGCGCGATGTACCAGTTTGTTTTACATTCGAGTTCTTAAATGCGTCAGAGGATAAAGAAGAAGAATTCTCGGTCGCTTCCGCACCACACGTCGGCTGAAGGTTACGCAAGTGGAATACGTCACGCGTAATCGGACGAGCCTGCGCTACGTTATGATGCTCGTTAATGATGCGCGGCAATCGCTTTCGCCACGGTAGTTTATTCTCTTATTATTGGGTCTTGCAATTGAAAAGCTTATCTCCGAATCGAGTTAAAAAGAAGAAAGAATTGTAACCGAAAATTAGGTTTTTATGAATTTCTCATTTCGCGAGCTTTCCGCAGCTTTGTGAGCTGCAACCTCCATTTCTCTCTGGATATCCATTTAAATCGGTTAAATGAAAATGAGCTCTTCAATTGGCTACTATTTTATCCTAGTTGCACAACAATTTGTAACGGACGGGCAGGCAGGCCATGGCTTACAGCTTGCTCGCTTTATCAGGTTGTTTTGACGGAAAGGTTAATATGAAAAGAAATAATATTCACATATTCAAAGATATATTTGGGTGTAAACTATTTTTATTTTTGTTACGTCTAAATGTTCTCCGTTTGACAGGTAGATAAACGGTAATTCATAGACTCGAAAATCAAAAGCTATTTCGAGCAACGCGATAAGAGCGGAAATTTAAGGAATATGTTACAAAGATTGCGCTATATTTAGAAATACTATCAAGCAGCTTAAAAATAAGCACTTGAATCGGAGTTAAGTGTTCCGAGGTATCTTAGTCTCCGTTTCATCGATTGCCGTGGCAGAGAGTTTGTTAACTCTAAGGTCGCGCATTAGCCGTGAGGACGCGATGATGCGGGAAGACGTTTAAAAGCTCGATCGATAACCAGACTTGTCACGCCGTCGTTCGACGCGCGCTTTGCATAGCTTAGACAATGCGATGTGTGTGTTGTAAGATAAGCGAAAACTCGCGAGTGGCCGAAGCCCGAAGTGGCCGATTACACTCGACGTTATCCGGTCGGTAACAGCGCGCACGAAGAGAATACAGCGGAACGAGCTTTCGGAGAACAGGGAGCCACTCTGCGTTCACTCGGTAGGTAATGAAGCGGGTGAACACAGCTGGTGGTATCTCAGTTTTCTGGGGGCGTTAGCAACCCGTTAAAGAGTTACTCGGCTGGCAAAGGCCGATTCGAGAGCACTTCACGCGAAGAGAATCTCCTTTCTTTCTCCTTCTCGGGGGAAGAGAAGCCGTGGCGAATGCTTGGGTGAGCTTCTCGATCGAGAATCTCGTTATCCGATAATCCCGAAATGCCCCCATCGAGATCCACCGTAGCGATCGTCTGATACGAGGCGTGTCAAGGTAGATTTGCACTAGTCG